TCCCTCCCTCCCTGTTCCTTCTGTTTGAAATAGGGTCTCACTATATAGCGAAGGATGGTCTGGAACTCACAATCTTTCTGCATAGACTTCTAAATTCTGGGACTACAGCAGTGTGACCCCTACACCCAGCTTCTGGTTGGTATAGTTTCTGATTTCAACTGACTGCTTGCATTAGGCTTTCTTATGTTCATGTAGGAATTTAAAGTGCTAGAGTGTCTCCAGTCTCATGGCCTTTCAATTACATTTTTTTGGTTAAGAATTCTGCTAAAGTCAGGGCCAGTGAGATGGCTCAGTGGGTAAAGATTCTTATTTCCAAATCTGAATTTGATCCCCAGAAACAACATGGTGGAAGGAGAGAAGGAACATCTGTAAGTTATTCTCTCATCTCCCAATAATTATGGTGGTGTTGCAAGCACATGTCCATAAAATTAACTGTCAAAAAAAGAAAAGAATTCTGTTGAGTCCTGTGTATTTGGCTGGAACCTCCAAACTCCTGCTCCATTCTTGCCTCTCCAAAACCTGCCCTCTCAGAGAATCTCCAAAAAGCCCAGTTCTGCTTGGTGAGATCCTCCCCTGAAGTTGTCAGTGATCAAACCCCTACCTAAAGTGTTATAATGGGGCACAAACCCAGCTTATGGAGGACACGTGATCACCTTTTGACTACAGGGTATGTGAGCACCCTCCTTTAGTTTGGCCATGTGATTTTTGTCCCTTCCCCCGTCCCAATCTCTGAGGGCTGCAGGACTCACCCAGGAGTTGCTTTGCTCAGAATAAACCTGATCTTTTCCTTTTAGTTTGGTTTGATCCGACTTACTGGGTTGGCAGAGAAACCGATTATCAGGGTACAGACAACCTATTATTTTGGTGCCAAAACCAGGGAGGAGTTGAGCCTGGCCATGTAGGAGGCCACTCCTCTTTTATTTCCCTCTCTGCCAGACAGGATCAACTTTTGACTTGGGGTAAATTATCCATTTCCAAGCCACTGCCTACAGAGGTCTGGGTACCTATTCTTGGGTAAGACCCCTTCTGGGTCAAGACCTTTGGGGTTCCTGCCATGTTAGGGCAATTCTGATCTGTTTCTGGAGCAAAGGCCATCTTTGTTCCATGGAACTTTTGTGGGGAGAGGTATCCTAGGCAAAGGCTACCCCACACCCACCACTCAACCCAGGCTCTCATGGGGGATGACCCATCCTGGTCATCAGTCTCTGGTACAGGCTTAGAAATGGGCAACTCTGAGTCTAAACCTGATCCTCAGTCATCCCTGGGGTGTCTACTATGAAATTTATCCAAATTGGGACTGTCTCACACCATATGACAAATGGTTTGAACTCCCTTATCCAGGATTTTTGAGCTCTGCACACCCACCCCTCTCTCTTCCCTCTGTCTGCCTACCTGCCTCTCTCATGCCTCCACCCTCTACTCCAAGATGGTCTTTCACTCTTTCACTCTCCCCATCCCCCAACAAACCTCTTGCACCAACTCTGTTGTTCCTGGTGTGTTCTCTTAGTGGTACATCTTGTCAGGGCCTGCCAAAAAGTACCCACTTTGCCTTTTTACTCACTAGGCTTTCCTGGCATTTGTTCTGGCCATGCTGGGATTTCATCCATCTGCAACAGATCTGTTCTCTTTTTTTCTGTCTGTTCTCCCACCCTAAACTGCACAAATGTCCCATCCTTACATTTGTTACAACATGGGAGTCAGCTGGAGAGGCCAGTTGCTTCGTGCCCACAACATGCCTGTTCTCCCTTGCAGCATCTACTGATCTAACTGTCAATAAAGTATGTACAAATCATTTGTCTATAAATTTGATTCCAACTTCTAGAGTCCAATTCTTCAGCTGATGCTTCCCTCTGCCCTGTGTTACCATCTATGTGGGCATATGTGTGCTTGTCCGTCTCCTGTAGCCTCTTGCACCCACATTGACATCTCTTCTCTTTCTCTCTCCCCTTTCCCAGCAGTCTGGGAGACCCACTGCTTCAGCTCTAGCCCACTTTATTCCCCATGTGACTCTGGCCCCTGTGGCCTGTGGACCCATGTGGAGCCCTCCCTTATCTTCTGCTCCTTCCTGACTTTCTCTCACCTTGCAGCCAGACTGCAGGCCCACTACTGTATCTCTCAGTTTCCACTTTCAGTCCCACAGCTCACTTTCACTCTCAACTTCCCCTTGAAATGTATAGGAATACACTTGCACAGTGTTCCACTTTGCGACCCCCCTCTCTTCCACGGACTTAGATTTTATTTTATTAGCTTAGCTTTTATACATACCAATAGCCAAAATTGGTGAACTTGATTTCCAAAATCTCACAAATTGTTAACTACTACTGCCACAAACAAATGATCCCCAAATACCCTATACCTAAACTTGCTCTGCTACTGTGTTCTAAAGATTTTATCCTGAGCCTTCTAATA